CTGTAAAGGGGGTTTTGTCTAAGGGCATTTTGAACACACTAATTCTAAATGCTACCAGATACCTAGAATAGTATTTACACCTAGCAGTTGGCCAAGGGAGAAAAGCAAGAGGAAACACTTCTTTCTCAATCATGAATTATCAGGATAGATAACATCTATGGTGCATGGCAACTTTCAAGTTATGAGAAATAATGATTAGCTGATGCCATTAGCCTTCTCAATCTGATCTGTAATTTCTCGATAAAACTCTTTCATCTCCGTAATCTGCCTCTGGCACAAATGAGCCAAGCTGCTTAATTTTTCCTTCTTGTTCCTCTTTCTAGCTCTCCTGGGTCCTTCCGAAATGGGTGACAGCAACTAATCCTGAAGAGTAAAATGTGGTGCTAGTTCTTCTGATGTTTTCTCCTTATCATGATACTCTTCTTGAGTGCTGAGCTGTTCAAGAGCTGTCCAAAAAGACGACTCAAACTCTGTTTTGAGAGATAACAGCTAATATTGGGTCTATTACTGTACCTAAATAGCTGAAGTTTTTTTCTCCTACAAAGTAGTTTATATTCACCTGACTTTGTTCATTCAGCATGGTGAGATGCCTCTGCAGTGCTCTGAAATCACGTTCAGTTTTTCTGTCCTCAGCAAATTTTACTAGTGTCCTATCCGTGGAGCTCGCCGGAGAGCACAGGCTCCTGCGGGCGCTGCTGACAACGCTGTCCCGGTGAGGAGAGCCAGCCCCGCTCCCAGCCCCGGCGCTCATCTCGGCTGCCATGGGCTGAATGGGATGACCCCTGCTAGGAGGTTGGGACGGCGCGGTCTCACGCGCGGTGGGTTATCAGCATTCCTCTCGCTCCCGCCAAGGACACCTGCATGGGGGGCTGTGCTGCAGCCGCCCTGGCTCTGCCCGCCGCGTTGCACCCAGAGCCCACGCCGTTTGCTGCAGCCCCGCAGTGAGCTGCATGAGCCGGCTGCAGGGCGAGCCGGGCGCCCCGCGGCTCCCTGGGGCTCCCTTGGCCCCCTCGCCCAGCGGGGAGCCCTCGGCCTCCCTTGGTCTGGGCCCTGGGTCTTTGGTGCATCGGGTCCATATCGCAGTGCGCCGCGTTCAGGTGCTGCTGCGAGCTGCAGGTAACCTGCAGGCTTCGGTTTGGAGAACCAGGCAGCACTGCGCAGCTCTGCTTAAATGAGCCCCACATCTCTTAGTTGAGATATAAAACGTGATTGCACCGAGAAGCACACGACAATGTCTGCACTGATGACTGAGAATGTGCTATCAGTACGGAGCTTTCCTTCCCATCAAGATTAAAGAGAGTTACGGTAACACTGCTTAGATGTTTATTTTCAAATTTAATTCTGAAATCCTCTACTACTGTGTAGACACAATAAGAAACTGCAGAGTATTGCAGATAACTAGATTATGACTTAACAGAGGATTAATACTCTGTTAATCTGTCTGTATAGTAAAAACATCTGAGTTAAAATGTAGAGCATTGTGTGATTCATAAATGATAGCAACTCTGGGCTTTTTCTAACCTAGTTTTTAATTTTTGTTTAGTGTGAGACTGTTAGCTTAGATTCTTTCCGTTTAACTTTTGGTGATGCATTATTATATAGTTTCTGCATTTTCACCGTTAGCTGCTCTCATTAAACCGGTGTCTAAACTCAAATTCTTCAATCTGTTGTTCACCTATGTAATCATTCCTCTCTTGTTCCTTGGATATTTGGCGATTCATGTATTTGAAACAGACATGCAAAAAAACTGATGGAAGTGTTAGTAAAAAAAATAATAATAATAACATCTGTAGTTTGGTTGTGTTGGTTTGTTCTGAACTGCTACAGGTTCAGTTCTTCCTGCTGCCTAAGCTAATTTCACGTGGCCTGTACTCTGGGATTTATTATGATTGCACTGAAAAATAAAAAGAAAAAAGTTGTTTTTTAATGGGTTATTTTCTGCTCTGGAGAGCAAGTTGGTCTGTCCTTAGTTCAGAGTGGGTTTCATCCAGGAAATTGCTTTGTAATCTCAACTCCTATTGCAATAATAGCAAAAAGAGAGCAAAAACAAAAATTTCCTTAAACTACTGCGATCTTAAAAAGACTAAAACAAGGAACACCTATTTCCTTATGGTTTCTGTACCTAAAAGTTGTTTTCTTTGTGTATTTGACAGGAAAGTGCGAGTCCCCCTCCCTGTTGCCTCTGTTGGTTGTTAGTTTCTCTTGTTGTTCATTTGGGTGTTGCGCAGAGCAAGAAAAATGCCATGCTTTGTCTTACAAAACAAAAGAAAGTTGTACCGGTCCTCGTCACCCTGCTGGGTGTGCGGTTTCCCTCGGCCCGCGGAGGGGTCACTGTGAGCACCGCGGCGTCGCGAGGGCGCAGGCGGCCTCCCGTTGGGACGGGTTTTGGGGGGCGCAGATGGAGAGATGCAGAGTTGTTACTGCTGGAGAGCTCTATACTGGAAGAGCTGCTAACCCTGGCAACCGGGTTTGGATGCCTAACATAGCTTTGAGGCCACGAAATACTTCAGTTGTTCACTTTCTCCTAATTTCTCAAGAACAAGAGAATGCAACATTTTAAGGGAATTGTTGTTATGCTTGAGTAAATAAAGAAGTCATGTTCCTTGCTGGATTAAGTGTGCCTTATTTTGAAACTTGAGGAACATAGTTTCTTCCTGCCTCCTTGATCATTTTTCCTTTAACTGCTCCACACTCGCCGTATTTTACTGCTCTAGTTTGTGCTGCTGTGAATGTTCTGTCTTTCCCCCACACAACATTGCTAATAACACCGCTAATAACATCGTCACGACTGTCTCTAGGAATAGAGCTGGACGTTTCTGTACTTTTCTGATGGGTTTCTTAGCAACGCTTGCGTGGTCATGCCATAAAACGGCTACTTGGACGAGCAAGCGTGGTTGAAAGGTTATGTTGGCTTGAGCATTGTGAAATACAGGGGAAGGTCTTGGTCTTCGTGCGGGTGCCCGTGTGCTCTGTGAACTGGGGGCGAATTGTTAGCCTCCGTGGGACAGCGAAAGAGTCGAACCAGAGCAGAAACGGCGGCGTGTTGTGTGGGATCGCAGAGCGCGCTCGCGCTGCCGGTGGGTTGTAGAGCACAGGGCCGAGAGCCCTTTGCAGGAAAAGGGAACCTTAAGAAAGAAAGATGTAATGAGGAAGCTGGAGCAGCGCTGAACGGTGTTCTCAAGAAATCCACAAAATATTGGGATGGGGACAAAACAATTACCTACTTTGGATGACATTATCAAGATTGTTTCCCATCTTAGTTTTAGATTTATATTTAGTGTGTAGGGGGCCAAACAGCATAGTGGCCTGTCTGAAGTGCTGAAGAAGCTTCTAGCAGTCTTTATTTTAATTCGCTGAGTGACTCTTACTTTGCAGTATTGCAGACAGATGTCTGTCTGTCTCTCGCTAGGTTACTTTTTCTGTTGATCTGATGATGTCTCCTGGCATCTCTTCTAGGACTGTGATGATGTCTTCAAGGAAAAAAGAATCACTTGCTGCTTTTGTTGCATGATTGTGCTCACTGCCCTGTACAGAGGGAAAGCTGAAGCAAACACGTAATGATATGGTTCCTAGCATATCCTGAATTCAGGATAAACATGAGCATATGGTGCCTAGGAAGTTTGTTGTGGGCCTGAGCAGAAGATAAATACAACAAGCTGCTATTTCTGAAGTGTAGTGCAGAATGAAGGTTGTTTTAAGGAAAACAAGTAGTGTCACAGAAACACAAATCAGATTCGTGCTGACGTCTGTCCGGAGTTCTTAGGTCATTCTGAGCATCTGCTTAAGACTGGAGTTCCTGTTCTTCCTGCCACAGGCAAGGTACAGCCACAGCTGCGCAGTTCGTTTTCGTCTCAAACTGAAGGCGAGGTGTAATAAAATTACCTTGGGGGCCCAAAGGTTTGCTTTCCCACGTAAACAAACGTCGTGGCTCGCCAGCGTGGCATGATGAGTCCAGGGAATGTGCTGGAATAGAGGCTGCTCCCTGGGCCGTGCCTGGACACGGCTCTGCAATGGGAGCGCTCTGCAGGCTGAGCGTGGTTTGGGGAGCAGGGGTGGGAGAGAATGCTGCACTGAAATGGCACTAAATGCACTTCAGGAAGGGCTTTCTTTAAAAATTGCTTTCAACCAAAGGTTAAGATCTCTTGTATATCATAGGTAACCAGGTATGCAGGCTCTTAAACTTGGCATGAAACAAGCAGAAATTGTTTACTATGAAGTAGGTGAAGAAAACACGGAAGGCAAAATGTGTTGTCAGCATTTGGTGTCTAACTGATGTGGCTTCAATTCCCTCTTCTTGTTCCGCCAAAAGAGCCAGTAAAGCCTGATTAATATAGTTGTTACTGGTTATATGTGTTTCTCTTTGGTTTTGTGAAACATGAAGATGTAGTTAGAAATGTGGAAAACCTAGAAGTCACACAATTCTTGTGCTGAAATAAATTGAGCAAGTGTTTTACTGAAGAAGGCGCATCATCTCCAAGTATAGAGGGGAAGACAAGCCCACCGTTACTTTCTGCACCTCTTTTTACGGTGCTGCGTGTTACCTTTTTTTCCCTGCGTCTTAGAGGTTCCTCCGAGCTGCTGCTGCAGAACGGCCCTGCACAACGTCTGGCAAGGTCTGCGTGTTGTAGCCGGCGGTTTGGGAAGCCCGGATGTTAGATGAGCAGTGACTGCTGGTGCCAGTTCGGGTCCAGTGGATGTTTAACGCAGCCGTGCCTGTCCCTCAGTTTAACACAGCCGTGTCTGTCTGTCGTGGAGCCGTGGTGTGAGACTGTGCACGGTCTGGCGCCATGTTCCCCTTGTTCCCTCCGGTACCTGGGGCTCGCGGGTACCGGAGCAGTCGCCTGTGGCGGCTCCAGAGCCACCCGCAGCTGCCTGGGAGGCTCCTGTGGGCAGCCGCGGTGCCTGGGAAGCTTCACTAGCGTGTGGGAAACAGGATCCTCCCCTCTGCTTCTCACACAAAACTGTTTTTCAGGTCTGAAGTGCGTGTGCCAGCTGTGTGAGCACACCAACTTCACCTGCCACACCGAGGGAGCGTGCTGGGCTTCCGTCATGCTCACCAACGGAAAGGAAGAGGTGATCAAGTCGTGTGTCTCCCTTCCAGAACTGAACGCTCAAGTCTTCTGCCACAGCTCTAAAAACATAACCAAAACTGAATGCTGCTACACTGACTTCTGCAACAACATCACTCTCCACCTGCCCATCGGTAAGTGGCTCAGAAAATAAAGTATTCAACTGCTTGTGAAAGGATGAGAGTGATAGAAACGCTGAACAGAGAACAGCACTATGAGAGGTAGCTAATAGTGAGCCTTTTAAAGGCTGACTTCAAAGACTTTTTTCGCCCCGACAACTTACTTCAAATCAGAAAAGTAAATGAATTTGTAACTGTTTGGGGGAAAAAATGAATTCTTTTCTCTCCCAAAAATATTCCAGATGTTGCCTTTGGTACCCCATAAGGCATTAATCCTGAGGATGAAGAGAAGTGTCTGAAAGAAATGGACTTATGATCTCCCAGTTTTTGTAGGCATATCTTAAATGAGTTTGTGTTTTGGCCTGGCTGTGTGGGTCTTGGGAGCTTTGTGTATGGCATGCTGGGGCCCTTCCACGAGGCAGGGAGCAGCAGTGGTCCGTGGTACAGCAGCTCTGAGTTGGTTTGGGGGAGCTGAGAGTTGTATGTTGCTAATTGAACAGAGCATTTCATATACTTGGTATTACAGGCAAATAATGAAAACCTTATAGTGGCCTAAGAGACGTATGGTCTACAGCATCTCCGTGGCCAACCTAAAAGACCTGCTATTAATCTTCTAGTTACCAAGCTGGACTAGAAATGTTTGAAAAGTAGGAAATTAACTGTAGATGCTCATAGCTAATTTGACATCTGAAATCTACTCACGACAGCCACTTTAAGGACAGACAATTTATGGTGAGTTCTGATCGCTGAGGGGTAACAGCACCCTTTCCTTGTGACAAGCTTCTGTCCTCATTTTGCCATTTAGTTCTAGAGTGCTGTAAAGCTGATGAATCCCACGTGCTTGTGATCCAGGTTACGGAGAAATTATAGCAATTAATGATGGAATGTCTACACAGTAGAAACAATGTGTTTTAATTGCTTTGTTGTAATCACGAAGGCAAATGTGGTGGTCTGTGTTTCCTATGGGCTTGTAGGATGTGTGTGTGGGTTTTTGATGGGGAGAAAGAAAAGGAATAAAACTGCTCAGTCGTTGCTAGGAGAAACCTTTCCGTGCTGTAGTTTCAGTAATCTTGTTGAGCTTTCAGGTTCTGTGATTTATGTTAGTAGCTCATTTGGCAGCATGTGTTCGGTGTTAAAGTGGTATCATTGATTCTCACCTAGCAGATTTAAGAAGGTTTAAAATTCCTGGTTCCACGTAAGACAGAGGAAGAAGATTTATACTTCCAGAAGCTCTGTACTTTGTACGGTTGAAGCAATTCTAGAGTCTGCCAGACTCAAAATTGTGTAATGAAACTTGATTCAGAGCTTTTTAAAAATATATTTTTTTACTATTTTTAGATTTAATAGATAAATATTATTCACTCCAAGAATTTAATTCTGTTAACCTGTTTAATCCAAGCTTTGACAGTAAGTTGTCAAATATATTACTTTGTCAAATAATACCTTTTTATATACTTACATTAGTAAGATATGTTACAGATAAATAAGATGTATTTGTAAATCATGCATTGATTTACCACTTGCACTTTAAGCAGCTATTATATATCCCATAACAAAACTAAAGCAGTGTGTCACTGGGAACACTCTGTATTTCATTTAAGATTTAGGAAGGCAGACCATGGAGGAGGAGTAGTGAGGATAAGTAATTCTGGAAAAAATGATTTTAGAAGAGGCACCTGAAGGAAGCTGGCTCTAGCTGTGGGGATGGGAGGAGGGATGCTTGGGGAGGGAGAGCTAGGAGAGGACAGAGCAGAGCGGGTGAGGCAGCGCGTGGCGAGTATGAGGTGGTCTGTGGGTACCCTACGGATAACCAGGACGTGGTGTAGGTGGCTGCACTGGAAGGGGAAGCTGATCAGGAAGACTGCAGAAAACTCGGGAGATGAATAAGAAAGGGAAGGGTCCCAAGAACCCCTCTGGGGGACATGGGCTAGGTAGAAACATGACAGCTGGGAAGTCTGTACCCATTTATCTAGTCTTACCTGGTTGTATGTGACAGGAATGAAAATCACTTAAGGATTTTTCTTTCAGGTACCTGAAAAATTGAAGAACTTCTAGAGCTGTAGAAACAAAATACCACCATTTTTAACCAGGGATGCTGGGGTCTTGGGGGAGTACTGTTCTTCACAGATGAGCGTTGGAGGCATTTCTCTCTTTTTAACACTTGAACTGGTAGTTGCAAAACCTCTGGTTTTGCGTTACAGTATCAGAGAATGACTTACGTAATTTTTAGCCTGAACCCTTTGCTCTAAACATTTGGGAGAACTCCTGTTAGGTGAAAATTCGACAGTGGCCGTCTTGTTTGTGTGCTGCCTTCCGAGCGCCCTTTTCCACGTGGTGCAGAGCCAGCCCTGCCCCGTGCGGGCCGCTGCGGCGCGGTGCGCGAGGCTCCCCGCGGCGCGGGGCGCAGGTGCCGGGCACCCCGGCGTCTTCACAAGCAGCCGCTCTGCAGAGCTCCAGAGCCTGCCCTGCTGCCGCCTGCGCTGGTGTCGCAGGTTCAGTGACAGACGTTTGGCCTACGGTAAGTCACATACAATAGAAAACCAGCTTGAATACAGTTGTGTAGGCTGGATTTTTAGATGGAGACTTGTACTCAGGAAATTGAAATTTCCCAACTCTTTAGGCCAGACCTTGTTCAGCTTGTGTTTTAACTTGTTTGACTTCTCATCTTCTATGATACCCTAAATCTAGATCTTGGTTTCATGTCTGAGAACAAGAAATTTTAAACAGAGGCACGATAGCAAGTAGCCTGTTGTCCCTTGTACCGTTAACTTACCTGATTAAAGCTGGAGGCAGCTCTCGTTTCAGTAACGAGCGCAGTACGTCATGGAGCTGGTGAAGGCTCCTGTGTTCACCGCTGGGAGGGCTTGTTGCCAGCATCAAGGCACTTGGGGCAGGTCTGGGCCAGCCTGTGGGTTGAGATGAGCTTCTCGGCCAGTGGCCGTTGTCCTGACGGGTCTGTTGCTCGTGACCTGGGTGCCACCTTCACAGTGGATCTCTCCCTGGCTGTCCCTCCAGGGAATTTTTCTCACCTGCCTTGGCATGTTGCAGGCGACTTTAAGGAGTTGCTAATAAGATCTAGAAGACTTCTGGAAGTTGCCAACTTTCACCACACAAGATTATTGGGCCATATTTCAGATCTGCAATAGTTCAAACACTGCTGTGCTGTCCTCCCAAGCCTTTTGGGAAGACAGTGTTTGCAATCTCTGGCCTCACCCCCCTTCTGGGAGGGATTCCCTCTCATGAGTCTGTTTATAAGCAAGAGAGATTCATCTACCACCCTTCTGGAGCAGACTCCCAGTCTGATGCTTCCATCAGGTTATGGCAGGAGAGATGTTTGAGCCAAGGTAACAGTAAGTGCAGGCTGTTTCCCAGCCCTTCTCCAAGGAGGCAGAGCTGGCGTTGGCTTCAGTTGCATCCTTAGCCTGAGGCAGCAACTTGGCAACTCCTAATATGGAGCTCAGACATTTTGCTACTAGATCTAGTGAGCAAGACTTTCTCAACCTATTTTTGCTGGGGTTCAGGGAGCAATTCCTGAATCCTTTCTCTAGAATTGGTTCATTGTTTCGTGGTACTAAAGATTTGGTTGAGCTTTGGAAAGAATTGGTGCCCTTTTTTGAAAGGAAAGGGATGAAAATTTATCACAGAGCCATGCTGGCGACTTCAAATTCTGCATCCCTGTAAAGGCAGGTTCCTCCCAAGTGAAGCTAGAGAGCCCTCTTGCTTTGCCTTCGTGCCTGTCTCGTGTTGTCGGTTCCCACAGCGCAGGTAAGAGCGCGCGCAGTCGCTCCCCCTCGGGGTGACGGCGGCTGCACTGATGCTTCTTCCCAAGGCGAGGTCTTTCCCCGCTCTCCAGCGCGGCGCCCTGCGTCGCTTCCCGCTCGGGTCGGGCCGCCCGCTGTGACCGTCCTTCCTGCCGTGGGCAGCCGCAGGCAGCGGCGCCCTGCACCTTCCGAGGGGACAGCTCTGAGGACCCTCCTCGCTGTGCGAGCAGATCCCTGTGTTTCTGTCTCTTCAGACTAATCCAGTAATTGAAAGGCTCTTACTCATGCCTATGTTGAGTCCAAAAAGGCCTGTTATATTCTGCAGCATTGTAATTTGCCTTGTAGTGTGTGGCAGTCATTATGCCACAAAAGTCCTTAATGAAATGAAGGAGAAGCTGTTCCAGGGCTACTCGCATGGTGGTAGACATCTCTCTTGAAAGCTGTTGTTGTCTGTGATCTATTTAGGGGGTAGAAGATTGTTAAGGGAACCATGACGAAGCTTCAGCTTTGGCTTCGTGTAGTCAGACAAAATCATAGCACAGAAAGAAAAACAGGACACTTGTCACATACGTGGGAGATAAGACAGGTGTCTATCTCACTGTCCCAGCTGTTATCCGAATAGCAGACGCAGGAGAGAAATACTGAAGCTTTGGAAAAACCCGGAATAAAACAGAAGCTGCCAGGTAGGAAGGCGCTGAGTTGTCACAGTCAGAAGAAACTGCTGGGCCGGATGGTTAGAAATGTGGGGGAAAATCACCATGCTGTCATTCTAGCCTCGTGGTCTCACAAGACCTGATGAAACTGAACTTTACATTTCCATTTTTAGGCATACTAAATGTACTGGGTGGTTGTAGGTGAGTTTGTCAATTTGTCATAAAATTCAATGGACGGGCTGAAGAAAACCTCAGTGTCTGTGGGGAAAAATATGGGATATATATAAAATATGGGGAATGGACCAAAAAGAGGAAGGGATATAGATCCATGTATTTCTTTTAGTAATGTTTGTTGCAAACCTCTGCTAGGGTTCAGCTGCTGGAGTTGGCAGCTTGTTTTAGTAGTCTGCTGAAAGCAATAGCAGCAACTTCATTTATTTGATGGTTTTCCATGTTGTTTTATAATGAAAAAGGTGAGTTTATCTATCTGCTGTGGATGGAGGCAGAACTGAAAAAAGAATGGGAAATAAAAGCTTCTAGGGATGAACTTTGTCGTATCTAGTGGGTTTCTAGCCTTCCAGTCACTGCAGAGCCTGATAAG